CTCCGCGACCTTCTAGACCCGTTAACTTGCGCCTTGCTTGGTATGCGTGTGCCACAAAATAATAGTTGTTAAAAAGTAGTTTGATGGGGAGGGGGAAAGGCAGTTCGGGCTACCGATGAGATCTCCGGCTGAAATGGAATTGGGTGGTCGGCATTTTTTTTGCCCCCGAAACAAACACAGCTTGAAACTACTTGGGTGGGCAGAAGGGAACAATTTGTGAGCCAGAGAGCAAGGGAGCTGGGCAGGCAGCCGGCCTGCAACTTACCTGCTGGAGACTTTCACCTGACCTTTAGGTGTCAGGGGGCTTGCTTGTGCAGCGTATTACCCCCACGTTCAGGTCAGCTCCTTTAGACTGCGTTCAGCAGAATTAAAACGACAACAATGAAACCCCCAAACTGGAATCGCCCCTCCTTTCCAAGCCTCCATCACCCCTGGGGAGAATCCAGGAAAACCAACACATTTAGAATCATTAACTCTTAAAATAGCTGAATTTCCTCCAATAGAAAAAACGTAAATTATTACACTCACGAGTTCAGCATATTTATATATTATACGAATCGATGAATAAACAGGTCATATCACTAGAACCGTCATCCCTCGGAAGGCAAGCGGTCGGATCAGAAAAAACGCCATTGCCGTTTTCCCCAAAACATTCCTGGAATTTATTTACTTGCCAGAACATTTAAGCGGCCGACTTTAATTTCTTTCGTTTATACTTTTTTTTTAAAATAAATATTTAAAATAAGGAAAAAGAAGAATGTTGTCCATTGAACGATAATGTAAAAATACTGATAATATCATCCGTAGCAGAAGAGAATTGTTTAAACAATGTCGGTGCTTGCAAGATTGCCCAGTATAAATACATTTGCAGTGCCTTTTTGATGCGAGTTTCTAGTGGAACTCTTTCTCCTGCATGTGTTCTGTATATGCATTTCCCCGGTCCGATTGTGTGAAACAGGGCTAAACCCTTTAGCTAGCGGAGGGCACGTCGCTCTGCTAGTCCCGTCGCCCGGGGCCGGGGATGCCCGGCTGCCTGCGGTGCAGGACGAGGCGCAGGCGGCGGGCCGGTGCCGGCGCTCACACACCTCGCCCCTGCCAGCGAGGAGCTGCTCGCCGTTTTCCCCAAGCGAGGATTTATGAAAGTGTTGGCGGCCAGCGCTTCTAACCTCGCCTTTCAAGGATGAGATGGATTTTAAACTGAATAACGAATTGCAGAAAAATTACGACTTTCTCCCGACGCCCTTTCCCACCCCCCAAGCTCTCCCCCGAGGGTGTGGGACGGTGGTGGAGCACGGAATGCATCGGTGCGAGCTCATTAGCTAAGGAAAGTTTGCAATTAGCGTCTGCTGCTGCGAAGCGACCTCTCCTCCGCCTGCCTCTCCTAGCCCCCATCACCAAATAATTGTAAAGTATCTGTTGATGTTTTTCTTCCACCCGTCAAAACGTTGGAGCCCTGCCTGCTCCAGGGCTCCGTCCTGGGTTTGTTGTGTCTGGAGACAATGCTCCGCCAGCGAACCATCAGAGGTGAAGGGGGGTCACAAGGGGAGGCAGGAGTGCGGCCCTGCGAGCCGACTCGGGGCCTCCCACCCCTGCAAACCTGCCGCCCACAGGCGGGAGGGGCGGCGACCCCCGGCCGGTGCCCCTCTCCCCGCGCTGTCCCGGGGCAGCCCCGAGCACGCCTTCCCGGCTGGGCGAGTAGCGGGAAGAGGATGTGACCCTCATGTCCGCTCGGGGAGACGCGGCTGCTTTATGTGCAAGGGGCCGGGGGAGGTGGCGGCGGGGACTCTTCCATTCCACCAATTTACACCTAAATTTTATTTTTCTAAATACACTTACAGCAGTCGATGCGTTTCCGAGCGCGAACAGAGCCGTCCGCGGAGCTGCCTTCCCACCACCACCCTACCCCGGCGTCTGCGTACCCGAGGAGTGGGGCTACCCCCCCTTCAGCCCCCGTTTGCTTTTACCCCTTCGGGCTGGCGCTCCGAGCGTCGAGGTGTACTTTTAGATGGCGCTGGCGGTTTTGCTCCGCGACCCCGAGGAAACCCCCGTCGCTTTGTCTCGCCGACCTTCCGCACCGGGGCCGGGGAGGAGGGCGGCGGGCGGGCCTGGCTGCGTAGCCGGCGGGCCCTGGGCCAGCGCCGACCCCCGGCCCGGCCTGGTTTGCAGAGGTGGTGAGGGTTTGTGTTCCCGCGGGGCCACCCCACCGCGGGCCGCCGCCGCGCTCCTTGCTGCCTACGGGGACTCTGCAGCCCACGAGTGTCCGGTGGCCCCGAGCGGCCCTGAAAGGCCTCAGAAGACGGAAAAATAAGAGGAATAATTTAAGAAGGGGCGTTCGTGGCAGTTTTACCTTTGGCAAGACAGGTTTCTGGGGAAAGGCAGCGGCCCGCACGGCGGAGGCGAGGGGCTGAGTTATGGCTAAGAGACGTGGGGCGGCGGCGGCGGCGCTGACAGGCGGCGGGCGCGGGGGAGCGAGCTCGGCCGTCGCTGGTCGTAATTCCCGGAGTTGCCGGGCAGGGAGCCGCAGGCAGGGCCGGGCCGGCCTTCCCCATTGTGCCCCAGTCCTCTGCAGCCCACTGGGCAGGAGCTGGACCACTCTCCTCTCCCTGCCCATCGGAGCCCCCTCTTCCCGACGGGGCGCACGCCCGGGGAGCTTCCACCACCCAGCGCTGGCATTACTATCCCACTTCTCCTCTTAGCAGTGGTGCAGGGTTGAACCTCTCTGCTTCGCACAGCGTAGTGGGGACAGGCTGCCCGGGCAGGGGCTCCTGGCGGGCTCCAGGGCCCGTTTTTCCGACCTCGGACAGGGCAGAATGTCCGTAAGCTGGACACAACCACCAACCAGCCTTTCCCCGCCGGTGCCACGCAGCGGATCCGAGAAAGGATACACCCAGCTTGCCTTTTGCTTTGTTCGGTGCTGCTGCTGCGGGTGGTGGGACGCTTGTGAAAGACGTGGGAGATTAAAGGCATGCTCGGTTATTTACTGCTGGAGCTGCCCTTTTCCATTAACGAAGGTGTAGTGACTCCGTAAGAGACTTGAGACGGACAGTGGGGGGTTGTATCTTCTGAACCTGGACGCACAAAACGCTTGACGTGCACACTAAGCTGATGTACAGAACACAAGTCTGTAACTGTGTTACTATTAGCTACATATACAATATCATTTCCCTAAATCGTAGTGTGTTAGTGTTTTGTTTTAGGGGTGTTTTTTTTGGTTATTATTTATTTCAAGACGTGGTCCCATGGTCATTGCAAAGAGTGGTACTTTAGAAGCAATTAAGAATTAGGCAAGGAAGGTAGCGTAGAGGGAACTGAAAAGCAATTCAGACCTTTGCCAAATGGTCCAAGGCAGCGGGGCAGTGTGCGTTTTGTCCTATCACAACCAGTAGTGTGGTTTTTTCCTTCTTAAAAAGGCAGCAAAAAGCACAAGGCCACCGCGGAGGGACGGCTTGGTCTAGTATCAGTTTTTGCTTTCCCATCCTTTTTCTCTCTCTGTCGGCAATATAGAGAACGAAAACAAATTATGAGAACGCTTCTCTTGAGTGCACTACACTTAAACATACCAAAGAAAAAAAGCCTGAAGTCGAAGTTTTCAGGTCTCTACAGAGTTGTCTAAACTAATATTCAGATGTACCAGCAAGACTCCCAGTGAATCACTGTAAGCAAAAAAAAAAAAGTAGTTCTCAGCAATACAAATATGTGTTATCATAAAAGTGCTATGATACTTTTAAAAATTACTGTGATTCCATGCGCCACCCGCAGCCCCTGACTGCTTGTCCGAGGCACTGCGAGGGGGGCAGCCCTCGGTGAGGTCGGGCAGGAGGAGCTCGTCCCCTCCCCTCAGCGGCCCCAGGATGGGGAGGCTGGGTCTGGGCACGGGGCACCACTTCTCCCCTGGCGGAGTGTGCGGCGGCAGCCCGCAGAGCACAACCACAGACGTGCGGCCACATACGGGTGGGTGCCCACGGCAGAGGGGGCAAGCGCTTACTGCCAGGGCTGTATAGCACATTCGCGTGGTGTGAACGCTGCGGGAGGGGACACCTAATGCAAGGAAGGGAGTTTATTGTTAGTTTACTCCAGAAAAAAAAAGGCACAGCTGCGGAGTCATACCCGTTCGAGGAAAAAACACCCAAGGAAGCTTTATATAAATATACCCACGCGTGAAGGTATATACGCGCGGGATGACAGGGAATGTGTGCGTGATGCTGCAGGGAGCTCCAGGCCTTCCCACGGACGGAACTGTGCGACCAACTCGGCGTTGGTTTATGCTGGGAGAGCGCCGGTGCCCCGCGGAAACTGTGCGTGGGGGCTGGAAAACCTCACACGCGTAGGGCAGCGGTAGGAGCGAGTGCAACGGGGACATCCTTCCCTCTCCTGTCCTCTCCGCCCTGTGAGGGCTCGTACACCGTGCACCTGTAGGAAGGATCCCAAGCAGCGCCTGGGCTTCCACGTTTTCCTTTCCCCCTTGTGCTGGCATGGTCGAACTTTCGAGGGGACAGCCCCAAAGGAAGCGGCTGTTTGGGCTGCCCGGGTGCGCTCCCCTCCGCGCTGCGCGTTTTACACGGCACCTCCGGCAAATGCCGCCGTTGGCGACCGCTGCACCGAGCACCCTTTCTCAGGCCGGCTGGCTCCCCCCCCAGGCTGCTCCCCAGCTTTTCCTGTCACCCCACATCACTTCCATCAGGCTACCCCTCCCGCGCCCAGCTAGAGCCACAGCCCCTAGCTCCGTGCTCAGCCACCTCCCTCCACTTTTAACAGCGGTGTCCCCCTATAGAAAGTAAAAAAGCAAGAGATGAACTTTGAGAAAGTGTATTTCCTGTGTATGTCCCGCTTGTGTTTCTCACTCTTTGCTTACTTCCAGGCAAAAAGCTAAAACGATGGGAGTAATTGATGGGTGGAAGATCCGAAACCAACGGGAAATGTATGGGCTTGACGACCTCTGGATAACCCGGGTACCTTGGCACAAAAAGCAAGAAAATATTTACTCACCTTGAAGTTTCTGGTTTTTTTAAAGCTTTTTTATTTATTTAGTTTTTATTTCTTTAGTCATCTTTTGAGATGGTTCAAGTTCCCGTCTGAGGTTTAATTATAGTAAGCAGGAAAAGGGTGGAAGGGGAATGGGTTAATTCTGGGGAGAGGGGGTCAGAAACCAAAACACCCTAAACCCCCCGGATTGAGGTGGTGCGGGAGAAAAAGGCTTTCTGTGACTCATGCACACTCTGAAATGAAGATCTGAAAAACACATTCAAGCCCCGGCTTGACTGGTTTGAAAGCAATTCCAGCAATTAGGAATTAATTCGGCATGGTCAAAAGGCGATTTCACTGCAAGTTATATCAAGTTATCCAAACTTTAGCAGAGTTCAAGTGGTGGAAATGGGCCGCTGGGGTGGAGGTAAGGCTGCAGAAAAGAAAACCAACGATTGTTCAGGAAAGGCCAAAGAGGGGAAACCGTGGAGCAAGGAGGGATGGTGAGCCCATGTTAGCGCCAGAGGTTTGCTGATGTTGTTGTTGGAGGAGAAGGAGATTGTGGGGTGGAGGGCAGGGGATGCTTTGTTTCTCAAATGGGAGAAAGTACTAAAAACATGCTGGAGGTCCTAGGTAATAGAAAGATGAGTCTTAATTAAAAAAATTAAATCAGTGGGCTTGTTGCCTGATCAATATTTCAGGTTCAGTATGACCCTTCTCTAATTAATGGCAGGATACAGAGTTAGTCCAGGCAGGGCTGACCTTGGGATGATCTGTGGAGCAACAGGCACTGGGAGGATGTGGAGGGAGGGATAAAACTGGGTTTGCACACACAGGCAGGCCAACAATAAAACCGTCACAGGGAGGGGCAGGTACCAACCCCGGTGGCTTATGGCAGTGCTGGCCATGGGTTGTATCCCTGGCATGGCTCCTCTGATGCCTGCCCAGCCCAGCCAGGGATCAGGCATTGGGATTGTTCCTCATGAGCTCCACGTCAGCGTCTACCATCTCCCTGACCAGCTCCTGCAAGGAGGGAGAGAGACAGATCAGGGCCCCAGTGCAGGGGCAAACAGGCAGTACATCAGGAATGCCCCAGAGCATGACAAGCCCCCTGGCCTCCCACAGCAGAATGAGAAGGGGAAGGGGCTTTGCTGGGCTCTTCCCACAGCAGTCCTGGCCCCATGTGTGTCAGTGCATTGCTTTGCACTGGGGTGCCCATAGTTGCAATAGTGGTTGCTGTTTTCAAAGCAAGAATCCCTGCAGGTTCACCGAAAATGGGGTTTCTCAGTGTGCCCAAGTTGTCCCACACAGAGGTCCTCCACTCCCTTCCCCCTCCCTGTAAATTGCTTTTAGAGGACGTGAACACCCAGCAGGTACAAAGCACTCCAGAAAAACCACTCACATCAAACGTGACTCTTGGCTTCCAGTTCAGCTTTTGCCTAGCTTTGGTACAGTCCCCTTGCAGAAAATCCTGTGGAAAAGAAGAGAGAGGCGTTGCAAGAACCGTCACCTTTCCCACCTTGATGGCCTCCCCGTTGCTCGTACTTCTCTATGAGCCAAGCATGGCCAGGGCTGGACTCTTCCGAAGACAAAATATTTCTCTTTGAGATGCAATTTTAGTGGAAGCTCATATGCCTATTAATTCACCAGGAGGCAGCATGCTTTCACCAGGTTATTTCAGACTGAAACAGTTACTCTGTTTTTTGTGTGTGCACAGGGCTTGAACTCCAGCCTTATGGCCGTATAATGGTGAACATTTTGTAAGATGACGTTGTACGTCTTAGTCATGCTAGTGAATGAGCTGATTCAAATTCTTTTTTCCCCCATTTGTTTAAATAATGTAAATCACAGAGCAAACATGACAACTAGTCTCTTTCAAATAAAAACGTGATCACAGACAGATGATGCTGAAAGACTGTAATGGATATGGGTAACCATATGCAATAGTAGTAAATGTCCAGCTTTTGAATGTCTACTAATTTTCTTCTATAGTATTTTGAGCATCCACATGCAAATAGAAGTCTAAATATCTCATAAATTAAAAGAAATTATCTTGAAAGCATTATAGAAACCGAGACTTTGGTCATGTTCACCTTACTGTTCAAGTATCCTTAAAAGTGCTACCACACCAAAACAATCCCACAACCACTCATCAAAAATAATGTAACAAAATTAAGCAAAGGCAAAACCTCCTTTGACTGCATTTCTAATTGAATACAAAAACTAACTGCATCTTTCTTTAAATTTCAAATAATGTGTTTAAACAGTTAGCTTTTTCGAACTGTATGTGTTCATTTAATAAAATATATTCTTTTTCCTCACAAGCTGTGTTTTTCTGTAGCAATTAATACTAAAATCATATCTGTCTAGGTTTAAGGAAAACCAGACAGACCCAGCTTTGTTAGAGAACAACAACGCTAAGGCTGAATTCTCCTCTTGCATTTTGACTTCATGGTGGTAACACAGCAAGCTTTCCAGAAAAATGTATGGTTTGCCTTTCTCCTCCCTTTTCTACCCTCTGACCAGCAGTGGAGCTAAGGAGCATTTTCTGACTAGATTTTTTAACTTGTACTGCTGCACGTTACATTTTTCAGATGCTCTCTTTTGTGCATATGTGGTTCAGGTCATGTTAAGTTCCAAAATCACCTCATCCTGTGCAGTAAAATGTAGGAAATTCTTCTTCATAATTTTGCTCCAAAAAGCTAGACAGCTTGCTTCCAGGAGCAGAGGAAATCCACCAAAGGAAATACTGCACTGAAGAAGGGGATGTGGAACAAACACGTCTGCCCAGACTTATTCCAGGCAGCATTTTTACTAGTTCAGTCTTTCAGGCTAAAAAACATTTCAGCTCACCCTTAGAAAAGAGTAAACAGATGGATCCGAACAAAATGATATGAAAATAAAAAATACCATGATTTCCTTAAATTAGACTAAATGATTTCCTACTGCAGCCCTATAATGGGCTTTTTGAAACTGCAGCAGACATTTGAGGCCAAGTCATGCAAAACCGCATCAACTTGAGGGATCCCCTGGAGGGTCGTGTGAATATGGATTACAAAATCTGGTTTGAAATGGGAAAGACGCCTACTAACTTTGATAAAATTTGGATCAGACTCTAATGTGCTCATGGAGGTATGCCTTTTATCTGGAGTTCAGTTTAATTTACATACGTGTGTGTGTATATATATATGTGTCTGGAAACAAGGAAATCCTTCTTAAAATACTAATTTCAGTATAAAAACAATTGCTTTTTTATTTGGTCCTAATTCAAGCCATTAGCTAGAAGTGAAGTGTTTTAATACCACCTAGTTTTAAGTCATAAAAGCCATATTGCAAAACTTAGATTTTAATTTTTATGAATGTTATGTAAGTAAAACTTTTACATCCACAATTTTCATATTGAATACATTCTTTGCAATCGAGCCTTATCTAGGATACTGGTTTCCTATTAAAAAAAAACAATGGACTGTGAAGCATAGAATGAATTGTCATGGTCTGCTATATGTAGCTGCATTCTGCTTTTGAACAGCTTGGGAGCAGTCTTTTAACTTTCTTGGACAAATGTTTTTTGTTAAAACAGTTTGTCTAAAAAAATGCTTTACCTAATTCCAGCCCTTCATTCAAAGCCATAAACACTTATCTGCTGAATAGACCAAAATAAGGGTGGAGGGAGGTTGCAAATCTGTAAAGGTATTTGCAGTGCTGGATTATACACAGAGATCACACAAACAACTAGTGTATTAAATCCATGTAGGTATAAAAAATACATTTTTCCTTTAAACTTTCAGATGCTTTAACAGTGATGCATTAAGGGTATTAGGGCATAATCTGAGAAAAAGAAAAAGAGAAAAATAAAGATTTAATATATATGATAATACGAATTCCCCAGCTGACTTGGGTTAAAAGATTAAAAATGGCTCTCTTGAAGAAGTTTGTGTACTTTTGAGAAATGCTAAACTTTGTTTACTTGAAAATAGCATAAAATATCTCTCAGGCACTTTTAAATAGGTTCACTTACAGAAGTTACCAGGTACAGAGATCAAATTAAACCATACTATTAACACCATATTACACCTAAATTCGAGGTTTGATTGTATTCTTATTAGCCAAAGTTTCAACACGGAATGGAAGTGATGACTGGAACAAAGCTATTCCTGATTAAAGGATTGTATTGCAGTCATGTTTCCTGTATTTTTCTACAAGTAGCTCATAATATGAAAACAATAAGGTAATTACAATAAAATAAAAATATTAAAAAAGCTTCTCTTGGAACGCAATGACTACTTGTTTATATTATATAAGTCTTTCACTGAAACCAGAGATGCATCTGTCAGGTTCCCAAAAGGAAAAAATCCACAAAAATGACATCACTCAAAAAAACCTTCAGTATGTTGATCATTAAAGTGTATTGATTTTTCAGTGCCAGGGCATCACTTTCTGGAGGTGCAACCAAATCAGAAAGCAAAGAAAGAAGAGGTGAAGTTCCACGGGGGAAAATCTGAATTTTTTGGGGGAGGAAGGGGCTGGTTTGGTGGGATGGTGGGGGGGTGGGGGGTGGTTCTTGAAAAACAGCTGCTACTGAATATAAACTACCCCATATTCCAGTTCCTGATGGAAAAGCACCTGATGAAATGACACCACTTCATGTTTTGTATTCCTGCAGGATAACTTGTTCTGTGGCATTGTGCTTTACATACTGACAGGAAAACCCAACCCTTTGACTCCATGAAAACTCTGAGGATTTAGATACTGAGCTGAGTCTGCAACCTCAAAACACTGGTTAAGGTTTTCTGTTGTTTTTACAGTACTCATATCATGAATGTAACATTCTTTGCTTTTAGTTATCCATTTTGTGAGGAACAAGCCCTTATTTTCCATGCAAATAGTTAACATACGTGAATAGTAATGACAAGTTTTACCTGCAAGCTAAGAGTCAGAAACAACATCCAGGTAAATATTTAAAGGGAAGGAAGATGGAAGACAGCACTCAAATTCTCTGTTGCCACCTGAGAGTAAATTCTCCTATGTCTTTCTCTGTAGCTCACTGTCATATGACTGTCTCTCAGTGAACAGAACAAGTTTATATTGTGCAAGTTTTTCCATTTTACATTTTCTGTCAGCGAGGCTGTGTAACTATGTAGAAAATACCCCATTATTACTAAATTTGCTTTTATGATTATTCAATTTTATTGTCCAAATGCACACACAAAAATACATACAGATAAGCAGAGAGAAATTTGTTACACAATGTGGTAAATCATTTTAAAATCATGAGACAAAAATGTAAAATATTTTAATGTAAATATCACATTTCCCAAGCTCTTGTTCTGAGTGTCATTGCAACTCCTATTATGTCTCGTGCAGTGATTGATCTGGTTTCACTGTGCAATGTATCACTGTCTCATTCAATTAACTTTGACTGAAAATTTAAAACCTCAAGACAATGTGAGAAAAAGGAAATAGTATGGCCTGAAAGAAGGCCAAGGCATCCTTTATTAGTACAGCTCAGCTGATTCCCTCTCAAATGTGCCTTCACTGAAGTCAGCACTCAGTGCCAGCTTTTGCTTTCTCTTACACTAGAATAAAACTGAGATCAAGTCCTCAGTAAAACACCTGCAATGGAACTGTGCCCAGTTCCACTTGTTTTAGCAGAGACAAGGCTTTACCTTTAAAAATAAACAAACTTGATCTAAGCACATAACAGTTTTACTGCATCTGAAAAGCAGCCAGGGTTACATTTACAATCAGCACAACCGCCTGGAAGGTGATTTTTTACATCAGAGCTCCCATAAGCAAAGAGCACAGACCCAGCTTGGTGGAGGCTCTGGCTTGCGTGTTTAGTCTTGCACTTTTTTGCTCAAGAAGTTTTGTCAGAAAGGATTTTAAAAGTCTAGGGACCATAATTTCCTGTAAGCCCCACTTGTGTTTTAGTTTCCTTATTTCCTTCTTAAAACCGTCACCTTTCAGCTTTAACTCATCCCATTAAAAGAAAAAATCAATAAATTAGACAGTGATAGCTTGCAGTTTTGCATTTTCATCATTATCATTGAATTATAGAATGGTTGGGGTTGGAAGGGACCTTTAAACTTTACACTCATCTAATGCTCAGTCCAACCCTCTTGCACTGAGCAGGAACGTCTTCAACTAGATCAGTTGCTCAGATCCCTATCCAACCTGACCTCAAGTGTTTCCAGGGATAGGGCATCTTCTCCGTCTCTCGGCAATCTCTTTCAGGGTTTCACCACTCTCATCATAAAAAGTTTCTTTCTTATATGTTGTCGAAATCTACTTTCTTTTAGTTTAAAACTATTGCCCTATTACCTTGTGTCCTATCACAACAGGCCCTGTTAAAAAGTTTTATCGCGGTTATGTATATATCAAAGTTTGTCTTATGGAACAGTCTCCCCTTTTGTGCCCTTTTTGGAGCATTTTTCATAGTATTTTTTATGAGGGTTCAAGTAGCATATCTCA